GCAGAGAGTGTCCGCCCGCGGGCTTGGACCGAAGGGTCCCGCGTTCGATTCCGGTCAAGGGCACGGACCTTGGTTGCAGGCGCCCGGCCCTGGTCAGGGTGCGTGCAAGAAGCAACCACTCGATGTGTCCTCACACCCATGTGTCTCTCTGTGTCTCCCCCTCTGCCTGCCACTCCCTCTAACATCAATGGGAACCTATCCTCGGCTGAGGATTAAAAAATAAAAATTAAAATAAAAGTTAAGCCTTGGGGACCAGAAATGCCAAGCCACTGGCTCCCCATAGAACACGGGGTTAAGGGAACTGACTTCCCATTTCTCCCAAAGCCAATAAGACAGAGAGGAAAAAAGAGGGACCGAGGACAGGCGGCCACGCACGGTGACAATCCTCAGCTGGGCAGGCAGGTGGTCTTGCCTGCAAGTCATGGCTGGGGGGGGAGTGTGTGTGTGACAGGCTGACCCCCCCCCCATCTGCCTGCTCAGCTAGTCGATCCGGACTACCCCAAGGAGCCCTCCACACTCTCCCATCGGGAAGGACGATGGTCCCCCTGCTCCCTCAAAAGAGGTTTCCAGGGAGGCACGGAGCATGCTCACTGGCCAAGGAGCCTAGGAATGCAAACAGGTGACAGCGGGGTTTCTCAGAGCGGGTTTGGCAGCAGCGTGCTCAGTGAAAACCCAAGTTTCTAGAGTGAGTACGGGACATGCTCATTCTGGGCCCTCCTCCGAGGTTCACGAGGCACATCCCCAGTCAAGGCTCTGATAAGTCCTGCGGCAAAGCCATGTTTCGCTTCAGCTCAGCTCAGCTTGACCAGTTCCTCTTCTGCCAGTAAACCGACTCTGGCCCTTGTGCTCCTCCGCACACACGTCGGAAAACCGCCCCCTGGCTCCTGCCCCGCTGACGGCTGATTCCAGACTGTTTGCTGGACACTGCCCGCGGGCTGGCGCTGGGCCACCCTGCTGAGAGGGGCGACATTGGGGTGACCAGAGCAGCAGAGCTCGAGGTACTCTCTTGTCGCGTCTCCCACGATGTGTCCTCTGTCACTCACAGATATCAGATGCTGGGCTCGAGGGAGGGACAGCGGAGCGATCTTTTTTGAAACATAAATTTGACCACCACCCTTCCTTGCTTAAACCCTTTCGTGACCATCAAACCTCAGAGGGAAGGTAGGGGAGGGTGGGGGTAAGCGGGAGAAATCAACCAAAGGACTTGTGTGCATGCATATGAGCCTAACCAATGGACACGGACACCAGGGGGTGAGGGCATGAGTGGGGGGGAGGGCAATGGGGCGATAAGGACACACATGTAATACCTTAATCAATAAAGAAAATAAAAACACCTTTCGTGAATGCCTTGCAATGCCTCTGGGATAGGACCATAAAGCTCGGGCGTGGCCTCCAGGCCTTGCGTGCTCTGGTCCCTACCACCGTCCCCCCTCACCGCAACCCCCCTTACCTGAGCTCCCAATTCCACAAACACACACACTTCTCCCCCCGCCCTCCTCCCCCAGGCCTCTGCACACACTGATCCCTTGGCCTGGGCTGCTGCTCCTCTTTTCCTAGCCTGCTAACACCTAGCGTCCCGCAGGTCTCAGCTTAACCATCACTCCCTGACCACCCTCCCACGGAGCCCGGCCGCCTCCTGTACAGCTCTGGGCGTGACCGTTCCACTCGTCGGGGTGCCTGCGTCACACCTGCCAGCGCCAGGACTGATCGCGTAACTGCTGGAGCCCCCGGCCTGGCACACAGTGGATGTCGGCCGAGTGACGAATCCGAGATGACTTTTCAGGAGGAAACAACTTGGACAGAACGACAGAGTGGATCTGACGCCGCTGCAGCCAGGCCGACAAGGTGGGGTCAGCCCACCCCCACTGGCATTCCGTCCCGGTCATATTTGGTCATGAGACCAACAGGTGCGCCTCTCAGGTTTCTGGGAGGAATTTCCCTGGCGGTTGGCATCTCTGGCATTTCCCGAGCGCCCGCTAGGAGGCAGGCCGTGGGTTAGGCCCCGGGGGTGCAGGCAGGTCTCCCCGGATCCTTCCCATCTTGCTCTGGGCCACACGCCTCCTCCTTGCCCATCCTCCGCCAGCGGCAGCTCGGCCTCTCCTCCCAGCCCGGCTTCCGTCCCGTCCCCCCACTGGGGTTCCTGGATCCAGACGGAACCTGAAAAGGCTCCCGTTAAGCAGCCCCTTCGGACAGGAAGAGGCTGTGCTGACATCTCTGGTCCGACACCCCCAGGTCACTGCACGGGATATGACAAGCTCACGTTGCTTTCTCCAGTCTCGGGCCTCTTCTCCATGCTTCACGCTCCGTTCCCCGAGGGCCGAGCCAGGGGTCTTTGCTCAGCTCGCTCCATCCTTTCCATCCACTCTTGTCCACCTCACCGGGCCCCCTCCACTGACCCCTGGAGCCCAGACCCTCCCGGACGCAGGCTCCCGCACGTGGCTGCTGCGAGTGCGCCCAGCTCCTCCCCTGACCATCTGGGCCGCTGTGGTCCCGGCGGTGAACTGGGGGGCGAGGGAGGGTCAGGTCAGGGGCGAGGGAGGGAGGAAGGGAGAGGGAGAGGACTTGGGCCAACTTGGGGAATGTTTACAGCTGCCCTTCTGTCTTCCTCTCCCGCACATTTTTATAACTTTTTAAAAATATATTTGAATTGATTTCAGAGAGAGGAAGGGAGAGGGAGAGGGGAGAGATAGACACATCAATGATGAGAGAGAATCATTGACCAGCTGCCTCCTGCACACCCTGCCCAGGGAAACGAGCCCACAACGATGCTATGTGCCCTTGATCGAATCGAACCCGGGGCCCTTCAGTCCACAGGCCGATGCTCTATCCGCTGAGCCACACCAGCCAGGGCCCCCACACTTTTTTTAACATGGGAAATGAACATCATTTTCTGGAGTTCTATTGGGGGTGGGAGGAGGGCGGAGACTGGTGTTAGAACATGAATGCACCCTCGATTGAACTGGCACAGCAATGAGAAAACGGCGCATTGAGCCACCGCCATGTTGCTGCTGGCCCGTCGGAGAAGTCCCCACTGAGGCCCCGAGTCCCTCAGCTGATGGCGGCTGAGCAGGGCACACCCCGGTCAGGGCGCCCAGACCGCACCCTGAGGCACCGCCCGTGTCTAACGGACAGAACGCCCTCCGCACCGGCTGCGGTTTGTTCTGCAGCCTCGTGGCTTCAGCGGGAGCTCGGCAGCGACATCACAGCCGGCCTCGGCCGCCTCCGCCTCCACCTCCGCCTCGCCCCTTAATGACAGCACTGCCCTCTTCCCGCCTGTCACGGAAACGAGGCTGCAGTGCCCCGGGGACCAGGCCAGGCGGTGGGTTAGTGCCCCAGCTGCTGGGGGGCTGCTGGCTGCAGCTCTGGGCCACCAGCCTCATGGGGAATCGCCTGGCTGCAGGGAGCCGCCTGGCCCAGGCTCTCAGCGCTTCCTGGGGCAGCCTGATCGCATGACTGGGCCACACGGGGACACACAGCCGTCCCCTGGGCCTACTCAGGGCAGCGCCGCAGAGCCATGCAGCCTCAGGGCCCGAGGGGCTGGCCGG